GGATGCACGGCCGACCAGAGATTGCCATCATCACCATCAACTCGTTCACTATCCCCTTCTAGCGACCGAACGCGTGCAAGCTCTTTCTCGACAACCACGACTTCCAGCACTTCCCCGAAGAAACGCACGAAGACCATCGTGCACCCTCCATGTATACCTGTATGCAATAATGGCGCTCCAATCGAATTGCCTGTCACCCAAAAACATTTATCAAAACTTAGACGATCGACAATAGAAACAGCGCGTTCTGCCTCATCGTCGGATGAGAGGCCATCAGTATCGGCGTCGGCATCGACGTCGGCATCAGCCATACCTGTGCTAAGACCTTTGCGTCCCGGGGAACAATACGCAGGGAACATTGGCCGATTAGATGGAAGCACGGTAACGGTCGAGGTAGAAGTCTCCAGCGAAGCTGCTAGGAAAGCCGAGAGCTCGATCTGGTATATACCAAGACATTAGGGTAGGCGAACGAGGATAGATTGGCGTGGATGTAGTCCAGTTATCAGTATAGCGGGAAACAAGCTGATACTTATACACGTTACCTTAGCAAAACGCTAAACAGGTCTGCAGGCTACATTAATATGAAAACATGCTAGGTAAGTGATCTAACGGCGATGTAGGCTCCGGGCCTGTTCAAGTGGTTCCTTTGTATGAGTTCCATAGCTGGGTAACAGTATCTAACATCGGCTCGTTCTTACCAATAATGACTCAATACCCCAATGTCCTCATCCTCTCCCTCCAAAACTGCAACCTTGCTACGTCGCAAACATCACTTCCCCCTCTCTCCACCCAAAGGTCACCCCCAGGTATCGACTCCATACCCTCCATACACATCTTCTCTATCTCTTCCCCCGCGATCAAAAGCCACTGTGCAGCCGCCGGTACATGCATGGCTGTATTTTTGCCCAGCCTCGTACCAGGCGAGTATTCCAGTGCCATGGCTAAAGTCACACGAGACAGTCTAGTGTAGTCTGTGAGAGCTGGTGTGATTTGGGCGTCAGGATCATGTGCGGTAAGTGCGAGGAGAGTGTTGAAGTCTTTCCATTTGGTGGCCGCGACTTCTGGGGTTGCTGGATTCCGGATACTGTGAGTCCATAGCTCGGGACCTGTTATGACAACGTCAGCCCTGAAATGTATAGAGTCACAGACGTCAGGATAAAGATCTGATAAACGTACCCTGAAACTTCTCCGTAAGATGCATACTAAACCCCGGTAACTGACTCCACAACCTCTTCCCTTCTATTACAATGACCTCCCCAACCTCAATTTTGGGTGGTGGCTCTAGGCCAGGTACATCCCAGCTCCTGGCCTCTGGCCCGCGGTTCACAGCATCGGGTAGTCTTGCTAATTCAACGAGATATGCTACGAGTAGTTCCAGTTCTTTCAAACTAGTACATGATTCAGCAGCCGAATGGTAGAGACCAACAAGATCGGCTAGGGCGAAGCTGATTTCGTCTTGCGCCTCGACGAGGCAGGCTGTTGCGGAGGCAGAGCTTTCGGGCGATTTCTTGGAGGAGAGGAGCTCGTCGATGATGGTAACTTGTTGGTTAGATGCTGGAGTGGACGAGGGCTCGGAAAGCCATTTCTTTGCCCATTCGGTCGTCATGTTAGGAGGTTTTGGCGAAGTCCGTTATGCGCATGGAAGAGTTATGTTTCATGGCCTGTATAGCTTTTCTAAGAGCACACCGAGGAAGAAAAGATGTTTTCCGACTGACAATACACCCGTGTTATCCGCATCAGCCCTTTCTACGCCCTTTGCTCCTCGACGCACAGTGGTTGGACACGCCAGGTCCGCCATATCGCCACTCGTCGTGTGACGTCATAGGAGAGTGTGCATCGGGATGCCAGCAGAAACGACCGCGAAGGGTGAACACTTGGTAAGAAATGCTAGGCGCGACAATGAAGACAAAGTGATGTCTTGGACTAGTGCAATGTTGTATAGCCGACGGAGGGCTGATCGGTCTCTCGCCTTGCGTAATGCATTGTGACCGATTGGTTGATGCTGTCATCTCCGGGGTAGCGCACGTACGAGTCATGTTGTTCTTGCCCAGATCTTCGCCACATCGCGTCTCCAGCTTCCACTCTCGTCTACCCCGCAAACCTCTCACGCCATCAGACGACGCGTCTCGACAGGTCAACAACGTCGCGAATGATGGCCTCCCTCTCTCTGACTCTTAGAACACCGCTGTCGAAAAGTATTCGGCTCTATGAAGTATAGGGGTCCTTCTCCGCGTTATCAACCTCCACCAACCCTGGGTCGTTATACAGCCGAGGGAAGCTTAGAGGGGCATGCCGAACGCCTACATGCTAGCGCCACTGGTACTAACTACCGCGTGTACTATTCTGATGTCTCGAGGTGCTTCTCTCGATCTAGCTAATACCCAATGTATCTCTTCTTCGCCCATCGCTCTTCATGATGCGTGCCTTTGCGCGAGCCATCTCGCGCCGCCAGTACGGTGCTCACCAGCAATTACTTAACCCAAGACATCACAGGAAGTTCGCCTCCGTCAATGGGTCAGATGTCAAAGGTCTCACAGTCATTGACCACCACTATGAGTAATCGACATTCAATCTATGGGGATGCACGTAGCTAACTTAAGTCCAGTGCAATCGTGGTGGGAGCCGGGGGCGCTGGCCTTCGGGCTGCCGTAGGACTTACGGAAGCCGGACTCAAGACCGCATGCGTGTCGAAGCTCTTCCCTACCCGTTCACACACCGTCGCCGCGCAAGGTGGAATTAACGCTGCGCTTGGGAACATGACTGAAGACGATTGGCGTTGGCACATGTATGGTGAGCAAGTGCGCTATCCAAGATAGCTTTGGCTAACATGCGAGTAGATACCATCAAGGGGTCAGATTGGCTCGGTGACCAAGACGCGATACACTACATGACGCGCGAGGCCGTCCCAGCAGTCGTCGAACTCGAGAACTACGGCATGCCATTCAGTCGGACGAACGAAGGCACCATCTACCAACGAGCATTGGGCGGGCAATCGCTCAAATACGGGAAAGGCGGGCAGGCCTACAGAACGGCATGTGCAGCAGATCGTACCGGGCATGCAATGCTTCACACGCTATACGGACAGAGTCTCAAGGAAGGAGTGCAGTTCTTCATTGAGTGGTTTGCGCTCGACTTGATGATGAGCGAGGGCAAGTGCGTGGGCATAACAGCGCTGAATATGGAAGATGGCACAACTCACAGAATCTTTGCCCGGAACACGGTGCTGGCTACTGGCGGATACGGAAGAGCATACTTCAGTGCAACGAGCGCGCATACAAGCACGGGTGATGGTAGTGCAATGGTGTCAAGAGCAGGACTGCCGCTCCAGGACATGGAATTTGTGCAGTTCCATCCTTCTGGCATATATGGCGCAGGCGTATGTTCACGGAAGCAACCTACCACAAAGCCTCTAAACTGACGACTACACTAGGTCTTGATCACAGAAGGCGCTCGCGGCGAAGGCGGCTATCTCCTCAACAGCGAAGGCGAACGGTTCATGGAACGCTATGCTCCTACTGCCAAAGACCTAGCATCTCGCGACGTCGTCTCTCGCTCTATGAATCTCGAGATCTTAGAAGGCCGCGGCTGTGGGCCGAACAGGGACCACATACATCTCCAGCTCTCCCATTTACCAAAGGACGTAATCATGGAACGCCTGCCTGGAATCGCGGAAACAGCAGGAATCTTCGCTGGCATCGATATCACGAGAGAACCAATACCGGTGTTGCCAACAGTGCATTACTGTATGGGCGGCATACCGACGAATTATCATGGACAGGTGCTGGATGTAGACGCCCAGACTGGAAAAGAAGCCGTTGTAGATGGCCTCTATGCAGCAGGTGAGGCCGCATGTGTCAGTGTCCATGGTGCGAACCGTTTGGGTGCAAATTCGTTGCTCGACATTGTAGTGTTCGTGAGTATTTGCATTCTTCTCGTAATCTTGCTGCACATGCTGACTATGTTCAGGGCCGCGCAACAGCACTGCACATCTCTGCGAATCACTCTCCATCTGCGCCTCATACTCCAGCCCCCGAAAACGTCGGCCTCGACTCCATCAGCGAGATAAACACGTTCCTAGATGCCAACGGAAGCACTCCGACCGCCGATTTACGAAACGACATGCAAGGCACCATGCAATCAACGACGGCCGTATTCCGCACCCACGACTCACTATCCAAAGGCAACACTCAACTCGGCGATATCGAGAAGAAATACACCACCGACCTCCGCGTCACAGACCGGTCCCTGATATGGAACTCTGATCTCATCGAGACGCTCGAACTGCGCAACCTTCTTACGAACGCGTCGCAGACGAGTAAGGCGGCGTTGACAAGAACAGAGAGTAGAGGCGCGCATGCGAGAGATGACTTCAAGGAAAGAGATGATGAAGAATGGATGAAGCATAGTCTGACGTGGCAGGGCAATGTCGGTCAAGAAGTCACGTTTGGTACAAGGGCGGTACAGATGGCGACGTTGGATGAGAAAGAAGCGGCGAGTGTGCCGCCTATGAAGCGCTCGTATTGAGGCCAGGAAATACCTCTAGGTCAGTTTGAGGCCTCCGCTTCGTCTTTGGTCGCCTTCCTGGCAATCATGTACAACTCAAACGTTGACATGGACCTATTAATTCACCTTATCAGCACACTTATTTATTCTGAACTACTACTACTACTACTACTACTACTACTACTACTACAGCGTCAGGATGGGTTCCATTCGTACTCATCGTCTCCCTTGTTTCATGCGTTGTGCAATACGACGAGCTATTGGTCCACGCAATGATGAGTAGGCAACAAATATCATTCCAGCTATTTACGCCGTTCGCCCTTGAGCATAGTGTAGGCATTTTGCAAACCAAACCGAAACCCTTCGCGTAACCTTTGATCTCATCATACACTGCTGTTCATTCGTAAAGTCCCAGATACCAGCATTGACACCACTAATCATCCCAGCACACCTTCAAAGCTACACATGAAGTTAGCACATATTCTGAAGTCAAAACGTCAAGGTATCAGGAGGAAAGACTTACCACAAGGGAACGGAAAGTACATATCCTGATTCTCTGTCAAGTAAGCATGGTACGAGTATTTCTCCTCGCCCGGTCCCATCTTCTTCTCCACCTTGTGGATCTTGCCCTGCGGACCCAGCGCTGGGCGAAGATTCTTGAGTCGAGCGACTTCCCTGAGCATAGTCGTGAGCGCCATGCGCGTCATCGGTAGTCCGAGACACTGGTGTGGGCCATATCCGAGGTGGATGTAGGAATCCAGGGAGCGTGTGATGTCGACTTCTTCTGGGTTGGGGAAGACGTCTGGGTCGTGCGATGCAACGCGGAGATTCACGAAGACAGCATCACCTGGTTTGAGGTCTGTCGTCTTTCCGTTCTCAGTGATGGAGGTGGGTTTGGCAACGGCGCGGATGACGCCTGTCTCGCCGTTCAGACGGCCTCCTTCCATGGTGTAGTGCATCAGCTTCTCGAACGCCTCTTCGCTGTCGTCTTCAGCAAGCTTCTGGATCTCGGGCCAGTGTTTCTTGCCGTCGCCGAGGACGTAGTATTCGATCGTTTGAGCAAAGAGTTGGCCTTGGTTGGACACCATACCACCTGCTGTACCGAGGATATGACCCCAAGTCAGGGTTTCTGGCGACATGCCGCTCTCTAGCAGTCGCTTGATCATATGCACGCCATAGAACTTCATGGTGGTTTCCTGAGGCCAGATCGTCGCCATGATACTGGACAAGATTCCAGAGTTTGCAATGGCCTGCACGTTCTTCTCAACGATGTTTCCAAGCAGTTGTGTTGCCTTCCTTGCTTTGACGTGCAAAGGGAAAGACGAAGCAGGATCCGCATCGAAGAAAATGAGCGCAAAGACCGACGACATGATGAGATAGAGTTCAGCCTCCGTGAAGATACCGTAGGGCTGTGCGGTCGTCTTGAGCGGCAACATGAACAGCTCAGAGCAAAAGTGAACGTGGGCAAGATTGCCGATGGAGCGGATGATGTCAACTTGGTTGAAATCGGCAATCTTTACGCTCTTCTCTTTCAACAGCTCCCTGGTCTTGAGCGTATAGTAGTTGCGCACTTCCTTGTCCCACGACGAGACGTAAAGGGCTTTGCTGACCATTTGTCTTGATGCGGCATTCTTGGGTCCGTCGCCAGCAAGCATGAAGTCGGCGGATGCAGGACCCATGATGTATTCCATGGCTCTGCCCCAGACGACTTTGAAGGTAGCTTGGTCTTTCATGATATCGGTGGCGAGTTTGTACTCCTTGACGAAGTGTGGGTGTGCTGTTGCCACTGGTTTGCTGAAGTCGTACAGGTTGTCCTTCTTCAAATCGGTGAGAGCTACCTTCATGGCGGAGGGAACCGTTAGAGGATAATGTGCGTACACGCTATTGTACTTGAAGTGCTGTGGAAAAGCGCGCAGGAAGAGCTTGTAGAAGACACATCCATTGTCAACACCAAGATCGCTATCAGCAAGCTGGTAGCCCCAATTAGTCAATGTGCGCGGATTGTAGTCGTGAGTGTAGAATCGGTCGCCGCGCACCAACGCTACCGCGTCTGAGAGAACAGCACGAGAGACGGTGTACCCTGGGCAGAGACCAGAACCTGGAGCCATGGGTTGCTTCGCATCCTCAACAACGATGCCAGGGTAGATTTCAACCTTATCGGGATGGTCGTAGAGGTGCTTGAGTTGTTCTTGCACGTACTTGTCGGATGTGATGTCTTCGAAAGTATTGTGCGGCTCGAGCTTGAAGTATTTTCTGAACTCGTTGAGCGAGCCCAAGTTCCAGCTACGTGCTTGCTCGATACCGAGAACCTCAATAGCACGGAAAACAGCGGGAACTCTGTTTGGCCCGAACGAGTTGGCACAGTCTTCAATGCTTGATGTCAAGATGTCAACAAGGCCTTGGTCGGGTAGCGTGCCGGACTCGCTTCGCTCCAGATTAGCGAACTTGCGTTTCGATGGATCCGGATCGGTCTTGCTGTAGACTTTGTTCAAGGTACCGAGGAACTCGCCTTTGCTGATAGACTTGGGATCACGACCTTCGCCGAACATACCGTCCCACATCTCCTGCGTCCATTTCTCGTCGCGATCGGACACTGTAGAGTGCCATCGGTAAACGAGGTTGAACTCAGCTGAGACCTGGTTGCCAACACCCATGGGTAGGTTCGCTACCTCAGCGCGGGGATTCAGCTGCCAGTTACTATCTGTGCGGTTGAGATCCAGAATAGTGCGGACGTAGTCGATCAGGATAATGTTGACGTAAAGGCCGCAGGTGATGAGACGACCAGTCTGAAACAGATCATTGTCGTACTTCTTCCATGCTGCATCGTACTTATCCTTTGCCTTCTTGTCGGCCTCAGCATCCCCAGTAGGTTGGGGCGCTTCATTTGAAGGCTTCTTGAAGCGCCCTTGTTCATTGATCGCGGCCAGGTTCTCGACAGTGTAGTTGTGGAAACGGTTGAACATGATCAACATGGCGCCTACACCGGGAGGGAAGAACAACAATCGCGCTTCTGAGAAGCAGTCAGGCTTGATCCTTCCATCGCGTCCGGTCCTCATCATGTCTTGCTCGGCCTGGTTGCTTCCATACAACGGCGATAGATCGAGGTAAGAAGATGTCATGGAAACGGCGAAGTCCTCGTGGCTTGTCCGGAAGCAGTCATGGATGATGATAGATGCCAGATAGAACAGCATGCTCGAGATCCTGTTAGGATGCAGTTCGGCATGCTTCCTGGTCATGATGCTGTCGAATACGACACCCGGATCTGGGCGCGCGGGGGTCTGCATCTGAGATGGTTTGACTGTTCTAGCATATGGTGTCCCTGCTGCGCCCACTTGGGGGTTGACAAGACTGTTGTTGGAGCCATCTGCGGATCGATACTGGAACTTCTCTCCGAGGTAGGACTGCGGTGGGTGTTGCAAGTCGTTCCATAGCTGCTCTAGGAAGTTGCCTGTGACTGCATCCCTAGTTTTGGATCCGTCGGGCAGCTTGGCGGCGGTCCGGATAAGACCTTCCATCAGGTATGTCTTGTCGTCAGTATAACCACCAAGCATTTTCTCCTTCTGGATCTCCAATAGACTTTGGATGTTGTCGACACCAAGGTGGGACATATCTCGAAGACTGCCCTCAATCTTCTTGTACAAGCTAGCCTTCTCTTCTGGGGCAATCTTGGAGCCATCGCCTGTCTGGTCGGGAACCGGGGCTGCTGCAGCGCCTAGTAAAGCTGCTGCTGCTTTGAAAGAATTGCCGATCTTGTTTCTGAGTGTACTGATCTCAGATGGGTCGGCTGGTTTTGGTGGCTCCGCTCCTGTGCGGGTATCGACATGGGCGTCCCACGCCGCTTTCGCATCTGCTGTTATTGCAGCCATATCTTTGGGTGTGCTGGAAGGTTGTGTTAGTGGCATTCTCTCGGCTAGATCTGATCTTGCGACTGGGTTGAGAAGGGACAGTTGCCTTGGCGGGCAATCTGGAAGCCTCATCTTGCTCAAGATCTGGAAACGGTAGGTGCATCCACCCGGAAAGACAGGAGTTACAGAAGGAGATAGGAGTGACAGTAGAAGGAGTAAATAAGAGATACCGTCGGGCTTACATTCAGTCGAACACCGTTCAGCGAGTAGTTCCTTTGTTAGGTACGCAACACAGAGTATCTCGTGAGGTCGCTTGTGTACTCTTACCGCCTCTGCAATCGACGTCACGATGTTCAACAATCTCGCCCGTTACTCGAAGTCGCAAGAACGGGATGTGACAGGCAAGAACGTGACGACCAGCCTTGCAGATGCAAGTAGTTCAAGCCGAAGACCGTGCAGCCAGCCAAAGAAAAAGCAACGAGGGGTATATGTGCGCAACACCAGATCAAACGCTAACAAAACGATCGAAAAGTTCAGCACAAGAGGACAATGGGAGTGAGGCTATTGTTCGTCCCACAATAGCTCCTACCTCAGTCCTCTTATACACGCGTCCTCACACGACCAGATGCGTAACTGCGGCTGAAGCTAGCAGTCCCTCTAGTTCTCACCGGGGATCGTCAAATCAAAAAGCGCCACCCAGCCCAGCCCGTCACAGCTGAAGAAAGGTCCTCTTCTCCCACCTGGACATCGTAAGCCGCGGCCCGGCGTGCCCAAACACGGTAAATGGCCAATGGAGAGTTGTTGATTAGCCAGTTCGGCAGGTCGAGGTAGTGCTGCGGCTAAGGCTAGGGCTGATCACGAACGGGCTTGCCGGCTGGGTTGTTTGGCTGACCGCTGGTAGGCAGAAATGAGGGCCCGCATCCTCTCAGCCTCGATCTGCCTTTTTGCAGGCAGCTTCTTGCAGGCAGCGAGATATTGAGCGTGATTTGCAGGTCGGTCGAGCCTCACTTGCTTATGAGTGTCGGTGAGCGTGCTTTTGGGAAATACGTGGGTGGGGAGATGGCAGGTGGGTGGCATGCTCTTCCCGCGCTTATGCAGGGTTTGTTCGGCGTTCATCGGGGCGATATGGGAGTGGCCGCCGGGCGGGCAGATCCAACAAGCCATCACGACAAAAAAAGCAAAACATTGGGCTGTGTTGTGGATGATGGTTGTACCTGGAAATCGGAATCGAGCACACACTCAATGTCACAAGCCTTGTCAATATATTGAGGTGCACAAATGAGTCAAGGACAGACGTAAACTCATCACGCAGCTACATCGAGATCTGCCACCAAAGGTCCTTCAGCAAACAAGTGACGAACATCTTTAGTGTGATTCAGCTGGCCAGAGGCATCGGCGCACTAGCTACGGGTACCTGCGGAGGTGTCACCGTTTTGAGTGGGTGTGACGGCCTACGTCTTGTAGTTCTACAAGTCCGCCTCGCCGCAGCCTTAGCGGCTTCTTTTGTTACTCATATATTGTTCTTTGTCTTCAATTGGTTCTCTTCTCGCATTCCCCATGTGCGCAAAGCCTCCCCCCTAGCACCACGCACCTGTCGAGTGCAGCCTCCTCAATGAACCGGTACCCATCGCCTGATGCGTCATTCTACCAGATGCCAGGCAAGATGGCGTACCTCTTGCGCTTGTATTTGTCGCCAAACTCCTTACGATATCTCTTCTCTTTCTTCCAGGCCCAAACACCCATCTGTCCGACGGCCACGATGATGAAAATGACGGTGCTCAAGCTCCAGTTGACGAGGGCCACGCCGATCCAAGCCATTGCCTCGAACATGTAGTTGGGGCATGTGACTAGATCAAAGCCGAGTCCCCTAGGGATACCGCGCTCAGTGCTGCCTGGACGGCGCAAGTTCTTAAGCGTCAGATGTGTGCTGTAGTTGCAGACCTCGCCGATTGCGAATAGGGCAACGCCGAGATATGTCAGGAGCGGGTTCGAAGGCTTAGCAGCCGGGCTGTTAGGGCCGTAGCTCCAGTATGCCAAGTTGAAGCCCGAGAGGATCCAGTAGTAGCCGCTGTTCTTGAAGATGTTCATGATGGGCATCGTGGCCGACGAGAAGCGGTGGACGAAGAGGGTCTCGAACTCGCGCTTTGCGAAATGAGCGACGCACATGAGGAAGGTAAGCTTCTGAAGCTGCGAGGGAGGCGCCGAGGTGCCATAGATGAGGGAGCGGCCGAAGTAGATGAGCGGGTGGATGAGGAGGGGTCCGAGGTATTCGACGATGAAGACGGTTCGCCAGGAGATCTGGGGACCTTGCACACTGTTAGCAATTGCATTCGTCATCAGACGATATGTAGTTTACCAAGATCCTTGACATCCACAGCACTCTTGTTCCTCAGGCCTGTGTCGTGAACCGTGACATCGCGCACATTGTTGATCGGCGAGCCATCGCTGCCCTTGGTAACCCTCAATCGGTGAATTGAGAACCTGGAGGCCTTTGCAATCTCTTCAAAGATCTGAGAGGCAGTGGCATCGGACGGGACGGTGATGGTCTCCGGGAGGTTCTTGATCGGGCGGCCTATAGAGGGGTTAGCCAACAGCAATCAGAGCGCGCTCAGCCAGGCTAAAGCCAACTCAATGAACAGAGAGAACATACCACGGGGGCGCACGACGAGTGTAAGGGGCGACGCGGACATGGCTGCGTGCTACGTCAATCGCCGTGTTGTGCGTGAACTTTTGGTAAGGTGGACGATATTCCGACCGGCAGCCTCGGCGTACCTACAAGCTAGGCTCAAAGGGGCCAGCTACTTCGTCATTAGGGGAAGCAACCGGACAGAGTTCATGAGCATGAAGTTGCGCATCTAGCTGATTTATATTGACGCTGCATCGAAGGCGAACTACATGGTCTCTATTTTCATGCATCATGGGATAACGTTTCGACGTGGTTTTCGTGACCTCATGCTCTTCATCCAAGCTGTACCACTACCTGCCATGCGACTTCAGGGCCCATGCATGCGACCATCTCGCCAATGATGCCCTTGATTGAACGAGGGTTCTTCAAATCACTGCCCTCCCAAGAAACAAGATCCTATAAGTTGTTAGTACCAATTGGCAGTCATCAACGTATGGACTGCTCGCGTACCTGAGCTTCCGCCATTTGCCCACGAACCCGAATGGGCATAGTAGCCAGGTCAAGTTGCTGCTCGATTTCTTCAGCTGTCATGAGCCCTGGAACCTTTAAATCGAACAACGACATGCCGTCGGAAATGGCCTTGCCACCTTCGGCAGCTGTTGGTAGAGGATAGTCGGAGTAGTCATCCTGCTCTGCTGCGGCACTCGTCTCTTCATCACTCTTTTGCTCTTTCTTACGACGCTCCCTAGACATCGAGACATAGGTCTTTTTGTCTAATAGAGCGCGTAGCTCAGCGTCCAGCGGATGCCACTCGTACGTCTCGGGATCTAAAACATGCTGAATTTTGTAGTCACCCTTGTACTTCATCTTGATGCAGGAGTGGATGTAGTATCCCATGTAGTAATACTGGTAACCACCCTCGAGCGCCAATGCCGCCTCTCGTAGCGCACTCAACTTTCCAAACTGCCATTGCTCGAAATCGGAGTGATAGAGCATATAGACACCGCTAACGCAATAAGGTAGCAGATCAAGGATGCCCATCGCAATGAGTCGTCCATCAACTCGGTAGCATTGGTGGTATGATCCCAGGAGCTGCTCTTTCCCGTCGACAGTTCTAGAGGTCTGCTTCAACGGCGAATCACATAAGAAACGCTTGAACCCCGACTGAGAAATCTCATGAGGTTTCTCTTTGTGTACGTTTTGCTGATAATTCTTGAACAACTCATACTTCTCGGGCGTGAAGGCTGCCGGTTCGAGTGTCACCTCGAAGCGATGTGCGGGTTCAGGTGGGCGCTTGACGTTCTGGAGTTCAGTCTTGTGAATCTCACGGCTGAGGTCAAACGTGTTCTTGATACGAGCTTTCTCCCTGGGAGCTGTTAGTCTAGTAGGAAATACACGGTGTTGTCACGCACTCTTTCGATATTGGGTAAAGCCTAGAGGCCTCTTTCATATAAGCCTCGCCTAGCACGTAGTCATTCCAATGGTTGACTGCCTTCCTCTGATCCTTCGAGGGCTTGAAGGAAGCGACGGGTAGACTAACCTCGGGTAAGCCTCTAGTCGGATGTCTCTGCAATGCTGCTTACCGAATTGTGTAGTGCGGACAGCAGTGTCGCAGCACGTCGGGCTTGTAGAAGATGGTACCAGATCTAGAAGCCGGTATCAGCTGCTGTTATGGGCATAGTACTGCGATGCAAGATGCTTGCAAACATGTGCCGCGCATGAGTGGGTCGTTACCTTCTCCAGCCGCGGTCCACGAGGATCTGGTAGACCTCAACGGTCAAGCTTTTCGATGAGAAGTAGTAGCTTGCTCCTAATTAGGCAAGGTCAGCCAGGGCTCTCGGCGCTCAGCCTCGTTCCGATTTCCCCCGCTCACGTCCGTATGACATGGCATCCATCGCGATGGCAGCATCGACTATGCGCTGTGATGCAATTCATCTCGCGACGCAGGATCTACACTCTGCGACGTCTGCCGACGCGTAGACGATGCTTGGCGGCGATGCATCGCTCGAGGCAAGGGTGGGCGCGGGCAGAATTGCACGCGACGCGGGGGCAGCACGTGAGCGCAGGTAACCTTAACGGAACATCAAATGCAGGCGGGAAAAGCGCCGGCTGCAACATTGACGCCCATTGTTCGTGTGAGGAGGCTTGACCGCTCTGACAGCGGTCTGCAGGCATGGCGATCCATCCATGACTGAGTAGGCATGACTATGAAAATCCACGTACGAGAATTGGCGGTTCTACTGCCATTCGATGCGTCTTTGCAGTACCCGCACGACTCACTACTGTAGCCTGGAAACGACCGTTAGCAACTCGTCCATGGCAGGGTCCGGAGATGCCTGTCCGCACTGCTGGGAGCAGCGAAGACGGGTTGGTGGCCAGCCAGACAGGCACGAGC